AAAATGATGAAACAGTTAATGGCTAATTTCGTCTTTTTGCAAAAACATAGTGGGGGAGATTTGCTAAAACGGGAGCGTGCAAAATCTGGTGCAGCTCTGCATAGAAACCAATCAGTTTCCAGCCAGATATATATGGGTGTATTGTAAACATAAATGCTGTACTTGGCAATTAGATTGTTGGTTTATGTATATTTTACAGTTCTTGTTTTGATTTATTTTTAATTATTTATTACTGGCACGTATATAGCTCCGTCAATTCACGCAGCACTTTATATATATTGTAAATTCACATCAGTCCCTAACCCTCAAGAACCGTACAATCTAAGATCCCCAAGGCTTCAGTTACACTGAATCTGAGTTTGAAATCGTGTGACCACTTGAATTCACACAATTTCAAAGTGGGATGTCAGTACTACTTCAGGTGTAATTTGGTAGACATCAGTGCAACTTCATGCACAGAGGTCTATGCAAGTCGCACCTGAACTTGCAAAAAGTAATGCATGAACTGGTTTCAAAAGTGGTGTAACTCCGACACACCAATTTATTATTATTATTATTATTACATCAAGTTTATATAGCGCCAAAGGGTTTGCTCAGCGCTGTACAATAGAGGGGGGGACAATACATGAAACAGTACAGCAACTACAAACAGCACACGAGGGTTGGAGGGCCCTACTCTTTCAAGCTTACAATCTAGGACCAATTTGACCACTTCCATTGGGGACAATAGGGTGTGACTTGTCGTGAGATTTGAAACAATCAAATCGCATGACAATTCCCACCGGTGTGACCGTGGACTAACTCACATTCATACACACACATACTAGGGCCAATTTAGACAGGAGCCAATTAATCTATCAGCATGTCTTTGGAGCACTTGTGCTCCATTGAGAACTACAAGTCCCTCTGCCACAATGACAGATGTAACTTGTAGTCTTTTCATTCACAGATCCTGGGCAGAGCCACACACAGTTGTACCAAATTAAAAAATACATAGGGGGCTCCAGGTAGAAGAATCCCAGGATTCAGTAAGGGGGGTAGTTTGGGGATAGGGGACTGCAGATTGTGACAATGTTCCATGTTACACCATGAATATAGAGGACTTAGTCTTTAATTATGCTGTTTCTGCTAATTAGCTGGTGAGTGTGCTTTGAAATCTTTGTATTAGGCCGTAAAAGGGGTCTGCATAGCACATAGCACATGATATCACAAAACCTTGCAAGTTAAAAATTGAAGGTTCAGACATAAGGCTTTTTACTATTGCTACCATCCATGAGACAGAAAGACTTTCCTTTCTTTTTCGCCCGACGCTCTGTGGTTTCAAAACCTGATCATAGCATTAAAAGCAAGAAGAGGCCTGTTGAAGAAATGAACTTTTTGCTTTGCATCCAAGTATGCATTTTAAGTCTGAACTCTTACATGAGCTCTTTAAATCACATTTGTATTTTATTAAGTGCTTGCACTTTAGACAATTTCACAGACTGGATATTCATGTAAAGTTAACTGCTAGTTCATGAGATACCAGTGACATCACCAGGCCACAATCCTTATTATGCATGACATCTTTATTTGTAAACGTGCCATATGTCATTTCATTGTGAACCACGGATATCGCCTAGCCACAGATGTGGGAAGCCATATTGAGCATTGAAATCATTCCCCACAAAAGGGCAGCCAACAGGTCGTTAGCAGCTAGTGACAGAGAGGAAGACCATGGGGTTGATTTATTAAATTAACAAAGACTTTTCGCCTTGCCAAGTGGATGTTCACCAAGCTTAGTATATATGATGGGGCTGGGTTCACTGTAATCAACCAATCATGTGATATGTATAACCAAATCTTTTGTTTTGGCTGCTGTGAATGTTTAATTGCTGTTTGTGCCCCTGCTGTGTAGGTGTGCCCTCTATATTTATCCTGGTGACCACTGTTATGGAAACAGAAAGTAATGAGAATCACTAGATTTTACAGTTGTCACCAGAACAGGAAGTGAGGGCAAATCTTCCACTGGGGATGTCTGTTCCTGTAGTAGCTGTCTTGGAAGGGCATTCCCCTCACTTTGAAGAGATTTCATTCCACGTCCTGAGGTGTCTTCAGGGCAGGAGGCAAGGGGGAAATCTCTCCAACAGGATCCAGGGAACAGATAAGCCGATGGGGGCTTTAAGACTTCTCTACTCAATCCAAAACAAAAAAAAATAGTTTTGGCTATGCATACTTTGAATGAATGTTGCTAAGTGAGCAGCTTATACTTCTATAGTTAGTCCCAGAGTAAGCAGAGTGTAACAGAGGGACGTCAGAACTGGGGGAGGAATTAAGGTCTGGGACAGGATTAAGGAGTGTAGTGTGAGTGGCCTGCCTGCAGATAGAGGTTAGCTTAGGTAGGTAGGAGCCTCGGGATGCTTTCAAAGGTGGGTCTAGGGATAGTATTGCCAGAATGAACTGTGGTGGGTCCTACCCACCCAAAAAAGGGGAAGTAATTTGTCATGGCATCTGGAAATCAGGTGGGAAATTTTGGTAAATGGGGCGTGTTTGATAGTATGGAGCTCTGATTATAGCGTTCCGCTTGTGACTTGTTCTTAGAGGACTTTGTGGTGTTGTCAAAAGGAGAACCTCAAGCTGGTGAGGAGTGGCTTACTATAGTTCACTTTAAAATAAATTGGGACCGGAGACCCTCTTCCTGGTTACTTTATTGTTGAAATGTGATTTTATTGTTTTTTTTACTTGTTGTTTATTTTTTGTTATGGTTGAATAAAGTGTCTGCTGTGGCCAACTACAGTAAATCCATATCATGCATTCTGATGTTTTTACTGGGAAAAACTTTGGTGAAAGAAAGGACCCAGGTTTTGAGGAATCCTTCACCTAGGTAGTAAATCAACCCCATTCTCTTATGTGGACAAAATTTGCAAATTGTCAGAAACTATCAGTGCCAGTGAAGGAATGAGAGGTTGCATTCTCAAAATAGCTGCCTAGCCCTAATAATCTATTGCAGACAGTGATAGCAGACATTGATAAGATGTATTGCATCACAGTAGGATGTATATTTCTATATGGGTTTGGGAGAGTTAAGATCTTATCATACAGTGATATTTTGTCTTACTGTGCATAAATATTTGATATTTTACTTCATGGAAACAATAATTTCTCTGCACACTCTGCTTGATGTGTATATGGCCTGCGTTGTGCAAGACTATGTATGACTGGCAGTTACCACCAAGTTAGGATAGATTCAGATATCATGGTGGGCAAAGCAACAGATATGTTTTAAAGCCTCCTCCTCCAAGCACATACTAAGGTTTACTTTGCTCCCTTGACCCTCTATTAATCTGCTGGTAGCCAGAAGAAGAAGAAGCCCTGTGTATAGTCAGAGACCCTCTAGTTGAGGACACTTTCACCACCCCATATGACAATGCTGGGTCAATCACCAAGCACCAGCACTGTTAGAGGAGTGAGATGCAAGCTCATCCATACCTGTAAGTACAGGTTCTTTTCTTCACTCCCAGCTTCTAAAAGGAGGAAAAGCACAGATTTCAATTGAACTTCAATGATTATTTGTCCTAAAAATATCTGTCGATTTTATTATCATTGCCAATTGAGAAGTGAAAATATGGATGTGATTAGGCCTAAATTTGAGCTTGGTTGGTAGAGGGCCTAATTAGTTCTGTATTTAGACACAATTCTGCCTAGGCATACCTGAATGATGATGCTTTGCCTCTTTTAGCAAAAACTACTGTTAGGATGTCCTAAAAGAGGCAGCATGCAGTCTGCTATATATGTAGCACTAATTTTGAACTGTAAAGACCACTATATAAGTAAAAGGAAAGATGGTTTTGTGTTTTTGAATTATAAAGAGTCTTGTGACTGCTCTCACTATGTCTTGCACATCTACAGTTATCTTGCTGGATTTAGCCACTAATATCTGGAGGTGGTTAGAAGAAGGAACTTTTCACAATTTGTTCATTTTGAGACTTGGTGCTACCCCCTCTGACCCTGCCACCCTGGACATTACTCAATGAGTATCCTCTGGAAATACAGCCCTGGGCCTAAATATATCCCAGTTTTCTATGTGAGCTATGAGGGCATACAGTGGAGCTGCTAGATCAGATCATGAGCTGCATATTCTAAGTTCCTTTCTATCTTTACATTTTTTCCTATGAGGCCAGTTACACATGAGATGATATTAAAAGCCCACATCCAGACAATGCCTTGATCACATCATTATTCTGCAAAGCACATTATAATCAATCAGTAATGACAGTCTGCTCATTCAAACTACAGCCGTCTCAAAGCTTATCGTGCCCAACCAATCCTTCACCAGCATACATGCTGGGTATCTGAAGCAGCTGATTGTAGGTAAATTAGAAATTAAAACACACCCGTGCCAATTTCCTCCATCTCAATCAAATATCCTGCATTGATTTGCTCTGTTAGCCTTCAGCAGGAAATGTATTACCCAATACTTTGCTGTTCCTTTTAGGTCACAATACTACTAATTCTTGGCAACACTTATCTGTGGAGTTGTAGACTTAAAGTTTATATAAACCAAAGAGGAAAAATGTAATATACTAAAGCTTGCCAGTCCTTAGATGTCGTGGCTACGTTACTTTTTTTCTGTTTCTTTTTCTTTATATTACAGCCGGTAACACACTTCCTGTCATTAACTGTACTATATCTAAGTGCATTGTTTTCACCCTCACACAGTAATTGTGTAAAGACTACAGAACACTTCCCACTTTCCTCTTCTCCAAAGCATGAGGGGAGGTGTTTTTTTTAGTTCTCACACACTTCCTGAGAACATTGTTTGAGATAATACGGCAGAATGAAAAGGACAGCATTGGGCTTCTGGCAATGTCAACAGGTATTTTGGTTTTATTTGCACTTTTTAAACAGAAATAACAAAATGCTTTCAACAGTACATTTAGCAAACCAAAAGAGATCAAACATGAGAATTAGAAAAAGACGATGAGTCCACTGATTTAAGGCAGTAAATGTAACAAATGTATATGCTTTAAAACAGGGATTGAAATTTCCACTCGCCTGCTCGCCAATGACGAGTGGAAATTATGGTGGGGGCAAGTGTGTCCCCCCAGGGCCGTCTTCCTGAGCAGGCTCGGAGCTCAGGCCGGATCTGTCATTGGCACTGGGAGCCGTCAGACCGCTCAATAGCTGAGCGTAGTGAAAGCAAAGCAAGGAGTGTGTGCTGTGCTCTCTGCCTCCCCCTAAAGTGCAGTACCCGGCTCTGTGAGTGAACAACAAAGTACTGCAACTTTTTATGAGGAGGGGTGTGTGTGTGTACGTGTACATGTGTGTGTGTTTGTGTGTGTCTGTGTATGCATGTACAATTGTGCATGTGTCTGTATGTGTATCTGTACATGTGTCTGCGTGTATGTACATGTATGTGTGTGTTCATGTGTCTGTGTGTATGTACATGTGTGTGTGTTTGTGTGTATGTACGTACATGTGTCTGTGTGTACATGTGTCTGTATGTACATGTGTCTGTGTGTATGTACATGTATCTGTGTGTATGCGTGTCTATACGTGCCTGTGTGTATATACATGTGTGTGTATGTGTGTGTATGTACATGTCTCTGTGTGTGTACAGGTGTCTCTGTTTGTGTGTGTTTGTTGGTGGCGAGTAACTCTAAGGCCTGGCTAGGGCCTGCTTTAAAACATAAATGTATTCACAAAGATTGCAGAAATCCGTGTCTTCAGTTGGCCTAATGGCAATTCCAAAGCCCACAGAGTCTGTCGCCAGCGGCAGGGTTTGTCCCAAGATATGCACAAGATGCACTGGGATTCAGCTCAATGCTATTAACAAGTGGCATTCTCATTGCTCACTAAAGCAATATATAGTTTGCATATACATACATTCATGCATTTATCTATAATGCCTGAGGAAGGAACCTATGTGGTCCTAAAAATTTGCATCTTTAATAACTAAAGGTATGCAGTAAATAATATCTCTGAGCTTTCTGTTTTAACTGATAGCTGTCATGGTACAAGACAATACTACTGGATAATAGTGGTAATAGCAGGTGTTTGCTACTTCTTGCTATTTGCATTATTAGCCAAAAAAGCCTCTTTTGTTTCCCAACTTTTAATAGGTTCACAGGTATGCCTCTCCAATGATCATGCCTTGGAAGCTAATAAGGGCACTTTCATTGGGCAGGGCAGTTGTTGGAGCAGTAATAAAGAATTTACCCTTTAGCATGGGGAGTACACAGTGAAGTATTCTGCACTAAACTTCAATTTAAATCTGTCTTTAATCTTAAAAATTAGAGTAATAATTTAATAATCCTACTCCCTCCACTTTATTGCCTGTACTGTATGGAGTATGGAGTTTCAATTAGAGAGACAGTGAAGGCAAACAGTTCCTGCTGTGCTGTTTCTCTTTAGAAAACCCATAGTGCTCAGCGTATTCTGTGTCTTGGGGGTACCCTGTATACATAATTATTTGAAAAGCAAGGATTTTATGGTAAACAAACTCATATAAAACTCCTAGATTGTAAGCTCTAACGAGCAGGACCCTCTGTTTCCTCTTGTACCAAATTGTATTGTAACTGTAATGTCTACCTTAATTTTGTAAAGCGCAAACTATTGGCACTATATAAATCCTGTATAATAATCATGTATAATAATAATATAAAACATCATCTTAAAATCTTATAAACTGTAACCAAAGTAGGGTCCATAGGGCGCTAAGGAGCCTTATGTGCATGCTCCGAAACACGTTACCGCCCCCACCTTACGTCACCTCCGACATATGCATTCCATGAATCCTCCCGAGGTTCTACAGCCATCTTATTTCCGACATTCCTGCATTCCATGGGTCACGCTGCCGCTGGATGGCCGGACAGCTCTTAAACCCATACCATCAGAAACATTGATCGATTTACTATGATGAGCCTATCATGTTTTGACTTCCTGTAAGTGGAATTTTATCTTTGTATGTTAATAAACTGCCAATACTACACTTAGAGGCGCCTTCTTTCCATGTCTGTAAACCAAAATAAAATACAATTGATCCAAAACCACCAGAGTTACCCTTTAAAATATATATTGTATCTTCACCTGCAATTGAGATGTCATGCAAATTGACAGAATTGGAACAATGTTCTAGAAGGAAAGCTTACATATTCCACCATCACTTCCATCATCACCCTTACACTGTCCAGTACCACCATAATGACCGCAAACTTTAAAAAAAAATCTGCTTGATCACCCCAATATAAGACTTTAGCGATTATGATCATTAAGTCTTCTTAGCAATTCTGATCACTCCAAATTAAATTGTTTTTTTTTATTATATTTTATTTTATTGACATTTGACAGTCATTTTGCTACAACTTTATGAACAGTCAGGGAACCTTGTATTGGTTACATGTGGTAGGTCCCGTTCTCAGAACAGACTTTCCTGTCCGGCTGTAAGTGCTGTACCGTCTGATATCAGTGTTGGGCTGACTAGCAGTCCACAAGCATGGAAGATGTGACCAGTAGGCCAGTTACTGTATATCTGCTCTCTATATGCACAGTAAAGGATTTTGAGGGCCTGAGTCTCTTCTGCACCACCAAAAGGTAGACTTGGCTGTTTGGTGTACAGTGGTGCAGATGTTGTTGCATTGATGCTAATGCAACCAATGACTGTGTGGACAACTATTGTTGTCGAAATGTTGTTGAAATTACTACTCATTCCTCACAGGGTGATTTCATTGCTCGATCATGGACAGGAGAAGCCACTTTTTTGGAAAATGCTCAAGGTATTTTATCTCAGTTCCCACTTTAGTAAATAAATCCTTATAAACTGGGTGGCTTGTTGGGGGTGTAGAAATTAATGGTAACAATGGGTGTTCAAGTTTAGCTAAAGCCATTTTTTGAAATTTAGGATAGAGTAGTTAAAACCCTTGTCAAAGTTCTTGTCATCTGTGTCCCATTATGAAGATTTTACCTTCACTTCTTATCCTGTAGGTTTAACAAAAAGGGAAAAGAAATCTCTCCAAAGTAAGGGAATCCCCCACTTGTTTTCACTGTTTCCATAAGAAAGTTTTCTCTCTGTACCTGTTGTGGGGATAATGGTCACCGGGACAAATATATAGAAGGACTCTCCTCAGCGGGGATGTAGACAGCAATAAAAACCATGAAGAAATGGTAAAGTAGCACGGGAGTGTAACGGAACCGGATCCTGACTGCGCTAGGGTATTTCCGTTAGACTCCCGCTTCCCTGTCTGAACATTATCCACGGACCCCCACCGGTGACCATACAGGACGAGACAGCACCAGGCTTCTTAAGACAGGAAGTGAACTGCTTTATTTTAACACAAACACAAGATATATACACAGGGTGGGGAAATACAACCAGTAACAGGAAACACATCAGCAGGCCGTCCCATCAGGGGGAAGGGCTGCCGGAAACACCCCCCACCAAACCAAGACACACAATAGAACAATGGGATACACCACCTGGCAGTAGACAATACAGGAACACATGCATCCCATAATAGATTGCTGGCAAGCAAGACACAATAGAACAATGGAACAACCAAGTGGCAGTAAACAATGAACAACCACCTCACCCCACCTATACATGTCCACACAATAATAGGACATTCCACCCTGTACCCCTAACAGGCACAGGGTGACTCACACATAATGGGAATATGGGGAGCGGAGACGGGTCTCCCCACCTCTCCAAAGGGGGCTGTGTTCCATGGGCCTCCCACCCAAAGTCACTCCCGGCACATATCTCCCCTTTCGGCAGGAGACTAACGCAGGAGTAAATCCCAGACGGATGGACTCTGAAGTTTGTCTGTACATCTAGTCCCCCAATTCCAGCACCCACACAGTACCCCAAACAAATTGTCCCACAGAAAGCATTACTCACCCAGCCAACCTCTGCCTCTCTCGTAGAACATACCCGCCGCTGGGGAGAAGTACAGACTGGTCCTTCTCCCTGAAGTCCTCTCAGCCGCTGGAGAGAAGACAGGGTGGCTGGGCCAACTCCATCATGTTGTGGGGGATCTGGGCCGACTGCCCAGCATCCCTGGGGTATCCAGGTGGCGACTGTAGTCTCATCCACTTTGACTTGATGGACATCACCCAGTGTTTGCAAAGTAAGGCTGACATCCTCTTGTCCCAATGCCAGACCCTTTTCTGGGGTGGTGTCAGTGGAGACCGAAGTCCCATCCATGGACATCAGCTCAAGCTGCCGTTGTGAGGTGCCGATTGCATCCTCTTCCTGTAGCTCCTGCGGTGCTGATTGTTGTGGGCAGAGGTCAACCACGCCATGCCCTGATGCCAGCTCTTCTACTGGAGGCGTACCGGCTGGTTCCTCCTCAGCAGAAAAGTCAATCAAATCCCCAGTCTCTGGAACTGGTGTCTGAGGATAGGGGTTCACCATCTCCTGTCCGTGGAACTCCGAAGATGTTAGCAGTGCTGGCCAGAGTTCACTAATGTTTGGCCCTGTTTCCAGGTCTTCTGCTGGAGGCTTACCAGGTTGTTTTTCCTCAGCAGAGAAATCTATCCAATCCCCAGTCTCTAGAATTTCCACTGCCGATTCTTGGGCATGCTGGCGAACATGTTTTAGCAGTTGCCTGTATGCCCTTTCCAGATGCAGTTCTTTCTTCAGCAGGTATTCCAGATCTAGTTCAAGCTCTGAGACCCCTGTGAGACCAAACATAGACTCTCTGTCTTCTCGCAACTCCTCCAGGGTAGGTTCTCCTTCATCGCCAAACACAAAATGATCTGTAAAGGCTCTCCCACAGCAATCCAGGGCCACCAAAGTCGTATCCCTCAAGAGAGTATTCTGTTGTCACCCCTAAATATTCCTCCTCTGCGTACCATTGCAGAGCCCGATATTGGTTGTCCAGCTCTATCTCCTGCTGGACCAGCCTGTCCAACTCAGTCACCCATTGCTCCTGGGGTCGCTTTCCCAGGAATGGCATCCGTAACTTCCGATGGTCCCTGGCCCTTTCCCCTGGGGTTGGATAGCACTTGCCCTTGTCCATACCAGCAACCTGGAGGGCTCCTCTCCAAAGTACCTCCCAAATCCGCTGCCTGAGCTCCTGGTACTGATCCATAGACACCGTCCTGGGGTATGTTGCAAGAACAGTGTGCAGCAGCTCTGGGAATTCTGATGCCAGGTCCATATCTCCACTGGGGTGACCGACGTCTCCTTTCCTGATCTTGAATCCCGGTGGTGGTTTGGACGTGTTCACAGCTTGGAAGCACAATTCCACCGCTTGTTCCATGGGCCCCCCACCCAAAGTCACTCCCGTCACAGGGAGCCCTGCAAATAATCTATTGATCTTATTTTCCATTCTTTTTGTAGTGGTGTTCAAACTGAATTTAAGAATTTCAGACTGCCAGCTTCTGCACGCCAAAAGATTTCTAAAATTTCCTTGGTCTGTAATATAACTGAATGAGCATGAGCTTCAAGTGTCGGGTCACAAGTTAATGGTCCAGATACAATTGTATTCCAATGCAAAATCAAATAGAAAGCTTAATGAACAGGTCAACTCATTTCAGGATCCAGAGATCGTCCTCTTCATCAGGTCTTTAGGATTGGAAACAATGGGGTTGATTTACCAAAACTGGAAAGTACAAAATCTGGTGTAGCTGTG